AAAAAAAAAAAAAACAACACAGTACTATAGCGATTTTGGTTTGTAACTCCACTTGCTTTCTACAGGATTTAGAGAGACAAAATCATAAAAAATAATTATAAATCTATGTAAGTGGGCATCCAATATATAAAAGATATAATTTGTGACATCAATAACATAAAGTGGAAGCAGGAAGCAGAATTGTAAAAGAGTGAAGTTTATGCATGTAATTGAAGTTAATTTGGTATCAATTAAGACAGATAATCATAACTTTAGGATGTTATATGGAACCCCTATGATAACCACAATAAAATATCTATCGAATACACACAAAAGAAAATAAGAAAACAATCAAAATGCATCACTACAAAAAACTGAACTAAAGATAAAGGAGGTAAGCAGTCATGGAGAAAAGGAAGGACAAAAACACTAAAAGAGGTACAAAAAACAAAAAATAAATAAAGTGATAAAAGCAAATGCTTCCCCAACCAGTAATTACTTCACATGCAAATAGATTAAACAGCCCAATCAAAAGACATATATTGGCAGTATGGATTAAAAGCAGAACCCAAGTGTATGTTGTGTAAAAGGGAGTAATTTTAGGTATAACATGCAGAGATTGACAGTAAAAAGATGGAAAAAGATATTTCATGCACATAGTAATCAAAAGGGAGTGTAAAGTTAAGTTGTTGATTTTTTAGAAAGATTATTTATCAGGGCGCCTGGGTGGCTCAGTTGGTTAAGCATCTGCCTTCGGCTCAGGTCATGATCCCAGGGTCCTGGGATTGAGCCCCGCATCCGGCCCCCTGCTCTGCGGGAAGCCTGCTTCTCCCTTTCCCACTACCCCTGCTTGTGTTCCCTCTCTCGCTGTGTCTCTCTCTGTCAAATAAATAAATAAAATATAAAAAAAATTTTAAAAGATTATTTATTCATTTATTTGAGAGAGAGCAGAGCAAGTGAGAACACGAGTTGAGGGGGAGGGGCAGCAGGAGAGGGCGAAGCAGGCTCCCCGCTGAGCAGGGAGCACAGCGTGGGGCTCAGTCCCACCACCCTGGGATCATGACCTGAGCCAAAGGCAGACGCTTAACCGATGGAGCCACACAGGTGCCCCTAAGTTGTTGATTTAAGTCCTTTTTTTTTTTAAAGATTTATTTATTTATTTTGAGAGAGTGAGAATGAGAGAGAGAGAGAGCAGAAGCAGACTCCCTGCTGAGCAGGGAGCCCGATGTGGGACTCGATCCCGGGACTCCAGGATCATGACCTGAGCCGAAGGCAGTCGCCTAACCAACTGAGCCACCCAGGCGCCCCTTAAGTCCTTTTTTTAAAAGAAAGCATTTAAACCTATCAATTTCCTGCTCAGCACTGATTTTGTTGCATCCCATAAGTTTTAGTGTATTGTATTTTCATTTGCATTTGCATCAAGATAGTTTCTAATTTCCTTTCTAATTTCTTCTTTGATCCATTGGTTGTTTAAAAGTGTGTTGTTTAATTGCCACAGATTTGTGAATTGACCAGTTTTCCTTCTGCTGTTGATTTCCAGTTTCATCCGTTGTGACTGGAAAAGATACTTTGTATGATTCAATATTTTTACATTTATTAAGACTTGTTTTGAGCGCCTGGGTGGCTTGGTTGGTTAAGCATCTGCCTTTGGCTCAGATAGTGATCCTAGGGTCCTGGGATCAAGCCCCGCATCAGGCTCCCTGCTCCGCGGGGAACCTGCTTCTCCCTCTGCCTCTGACTCTGTGTCTCTCATGAATAAATAAATAAAATCTTAAAAAAAAAAGACTTGTTTTGTGGCCTAACATATAGTCTCTCCTGAAGAATGTTTTCACGTGAACTTGAGAGAAACATGCATTCAGCTATCTTCAGGAACAATAACAGAACTAGAAAAAGAACAAACTAAATTCAATGTTAGCAGAAAGATGAAAATAATAGATGTTAGAGCAGAAATAAAGGAAATAGAGAATATCAAAACAATAGGGGGGAAAAAAAACCCAAACTAAGAGTTGTTCATTTGAAGAGCTCTAGATGACCCTGGGTTTGGTGATAACTTTTAGACATAACACCAAAGGACCTACTCGTCAAAGAAAGCATTGATAAGTTAGATTTCCTTAAAATTAAATATTTCTGCTCTGTGAAAGACTTTGTCAAGAAAGTAAAAACACAAGCCACAGACTGGGGGCAAACATTTGCAAAAGACATAAAGGACTGTTATCTAAAACATACAAATAACCCATGTTCATAGCAGCATTATTTACAATAACCAAAAGGTAGAAGCAACATAGTGTCCATCGATGGATAAATGGGTAAAAAAATGTGGTATATATATATACTGTGAAATATTATCCCGCCCTAAAAAGGAATAAAATTCTTACACATGCTGCAGTATGGATGAAACTTGAAGACATTATGTTAAGTGAAATAAGCCAGTCACAACATGACAAATATTGTGTCATTCTACTCCTATGACGTAACTATTCTATCTAAATCTGTAAAAACAGAAAGAAAAATGGTAGTTTCTAGGGGCTGAGTGGAGGGGAGAATAGGAATTTAGTGTTTAATGAGTATAGATTTTCAGTTGGGGAAGATGAAAAAGTTTTGGACATGGATGGTGGTGATGGGTTGCACAACCACGTGAGTGTACTTAAAGCCACAGAAATGTGCCTTAAAATTGTTTAAAATATTAATTCTATGTCTCTATTTCATGTCTCAATGTCACCTCAAACTCAACATGTCCAACACCAAATTCCTGATGACTAATCCTATACGTGGTTATTTCCTATCCATCTAGTTGAATAAACCATAACGCCAGGAGCGTTGTTCTCCTTTATATCCCATTTCCTATGAGAAGCTCCTGTGCCACCATGTACTTCTTGCTACCACTTATCTCATCAGCACTTTTACATTCATTTCTGTGGGTGTTTGATTAATGTCCATCTCTCACACCACAGTGCACATTCCAGGTGAACAGAGACCTTATTTTCACTCGTAATCATATCCCCAGAATATATCAACAGTGTAAACACCCTTTACATGAGTGTTTATTACACACCTGTTGAATAAACAAATCTTTAAGCTTTGAACTCATTATTGGGAAATAAGTTTGATGTGCAAAATTTATAAATTATTCTTTTCTTTCCTATCTGTATGAAGATGTGAGTCATTCCCCCATGCAGTTAGGGGTTGTAGTTTGCCACTCATGTTGACATTACCCGGGCCATTGCTTTTAGTTCTGAATTTTTAGTTCGGTGTCATCTTGGACATCTATCCAAATTTCTCGAACATTTCCTGTTGAGTACAATGATTCTTGTATCTGTTACCTCTCATTAATATTAATCCAAATATACTGTTCAATTCCTTGAGTGGAAAATATTAAATACTCGATGCTCACAAGTCAGCAAGTACAGGTAGAGGTCCTGAGGATGGGGATGGGGGAGTTTATCTCAGGACTCACCTCTGTGGATTCGAGTCCTGCTTTTGCTGCTAGTTTCAAATGAGCTTACTTAATACCTGTCTCTGTTTTTGCATTTCTGAAAGTAGACACAGTATTAAAAACACCTATAGCACAAAATTATTGTGAGAATTATATGGGAGAATGTCTCTGGAATTACTTTTTAAGCTGTACAGTGACACAAATGTATATAATTAGCCCAATGTGAATAGGGTTAAAGTGAATCCTAAAACAGCAATGGGACTGTAGAGGCGGTTTCTGGCAAAGACTTATACAGTTTGTGGGTAACTACTTTTCACAGTACATTTCCGTCTTGTTTCTGAACTTGTTTTTGAAATGAATAATGGAGTGGTTGCAGCAAGGACGAAGATAATTTTTTTTTAAAGATTTTATTTATTTATTTGAGAGAGAGAGAGAATGAGCGATAGAAAGTACAAGAGGGAAGAGGGTCAGAGGGAGAAGCAGACTCCCTGCCGAGCAGGGAGTCCGATGCAGGACTCGATCCCGGGACTCCAGGATCATGACCTGAGGCGAAGGCAGTCGCTTAACCAACTGAGCCACCCAGGCGCCCAAGGACGAAGATAATTTAAAAGAGAAAAAAAGGAGGGCCAGCACTTTTAAAATCTTGTATTTAGCCGATGCATTTGGAGTCTATTTCTACCGTGTTTCAGCTTCCTGGAAATCCCAACCGCCCCGGGTGTCTCTCACCGCCCTCTCTATAACGACCTGACACCGCAACCAAGTAGGCCGATGTAATGCTGCCTGCTTCTGGGTCTTAACGTCATCAGATTGTGACGCAGCGCCCTCATGTAGGTGCTCGATTATGACGTCACACGCCCTTTGCAGTATATAAAGCCGAAAGCGGCAGCGTCTTCCAGTTGCACCAGGCAGTGTGGGATGCTTAGGCTCGTGGCCCACGACATCGTGGCCAGGCGACTAGTGTCCCCCTGCTTCCCAGCTGCCAGCTGAGTGCCTCCGTGCCCGAGAAGAGAGAAAGAGGCGGAAGAGGAACCATGAGCATGCTGTTGCTTCTACTGAGCGGCATTCTGTTTGCTTTTCTGTTTGTCTTCTGGAAAAGCCGCTTTCAGGTAAAGTGTGTAAGAGAAATTGGAATTAGATGAAGTGAGGTGGTTCATGGATGGGAGGTGTGTGTCTGAGAGAGTAGAACGATACTAAAATAGTAAAATAAGAGTAAGGGAAGATCATTTCTTTCTTCTTCTCTTGCAAGAGCCCCAGATGTTTACCCCCAACGCTTCCTTCTTATTGCCCAATGACTGGGCAGCTGTGGTCTGCTGTAAAAAGCCCCAAGTCACTGAGTATGTGGTCAGCTTTTCACCCACTTGAAAAGTAGAGCTGAAAGTGCCCGCTCCACCACCACCTCCTGTTTTAGGAATCTATACCTTCTCTCTCTTTTCTAGCTTCTACTACCCCTTAGGTTTGTTTGCCTCTTTCTCCCCTGGTTTCAGTCATCTGTATGGCAGGTATTTGGGCTTTCACAAATAATTCAGGTCAAAATGTGGGTTTCCTGGTGATATTGAAAGCTGCAAGTGACTTCAGATCTTTAGTGATCCTTTTAGATAAGGATCAGGGTCCAGGTATAGACCTGCTTTTCTAAGAAATGTAAGCCAAAGATAAGACATTTTGATATTTAAAGGCTACTTTCATATATATTTTTTTCAGTGTTTGGGAAGAGCGTATTTCCAAAATCAACGTTGTTGTTCAACAGATTTTCAATCTCTAATTCTTAGGGGAGGACAATCAGTTTATTTTGGTAACCAAGACTAAGCATGTTAGTTGGCAGCACAGTAGACCCTTGAACAACATAGGTTTGAACTCCATGGGTCTTTACTTTCTCTCTTTTTTTGATACAGTACTGCAAATGTATTTTCTCTTCCTTATTATTTTCTTAATAACATTTTCTTTTCTCTAGCTTACTTTATTGTAAAAATACAGTATATAATACATATGCAAGATATGTGTTAATCGAGTGTTTTCTGTAAGGCTTCTCGTCAAGAGTAGGCTATTAGTAGTTAAGTTTTGGGAGAGTCTAAAGTTATACATGGGTTTTTGACTGCACAGAGAATCTATGCCTTTAAACCCCCCCCACCTTGTTCAAAGGTCAACTGTATTTGGAAATTGTTAAACTCAGTAAACTACATGTGTATAATTTCCTTCCCTTACAGAGCAGCGATGGTGAAATGTCATCAAATTCAACTTCTCTTGCACTAGTAAGACCATCCTCTTCTACTGGGTCAACTAAGAGCGATACTGATAAGAGTCTTTCAGTCATCTGCCTCTCTCGGGATATCTTAATTAATTCCCCACACACCATAACCATACAGAAGCGAATACTGGTAAACCTCGGGATCGTGGAATACAAGCTGGCTGAACTGGAACATTTCCTAGTTATCAAGGGTTTAAATGGTGCATTAGTTAACTGGAAATCTGACAAGCTTAGAGAATGTAATGACAACGGAGGCAATCATTAAAGGCACTTTGAGTGAATTCACTTGATTATATGTGTTTATACCAAATGAATTGTTTAAAAGGGGAGGGGATGCCAAGTCAGGTACAAAAACCAGACATTTATCAATTTGCTTTTACTGACATTTAAAGAATTGATTACATGTTTTATATATTTATACATTTATATATTTTATATATACAAGTTTGACAAGTTTATAAACATATATAAACATATTTATGTGTGTATGTACATATATATATGTTTTACTGGGGAAGGAATGAAAGTACAGTAGAGAAAGAAATGGTTCCTCAGTTTTGCGTTAGAAAATAAGCTACAGCAAAAAGAATATAGTTGAGATGTGGTAATTTCAATTTCATTCACATGTGAAAAACAGTTTTGGTATACAATATGCAAATGTCTTTTTGCATTAAAGTAAACGGGATTTGATGGAACTCTTTCTATTATACAGAATTCTCTCTTACTACTGTCAAATCTGTAATAAGAGCTATCATTGAGCACCTTAAAATATGCCAGGCACTGTTAAGATCTTGCTTTAGATACTTGTGAAGATAATCACACAAACTCTTTACTCTTTGTAGTCAGCTCTTGAAGGGGATTTCCTCCCCATTACCCTCTCCTCCATCAATTTGATGTTATTTCATTAGAAATGTGCCTAAATCGTCCCTGAATCACAAGAATCACCTATAGAAAATGGCATGCGTTTTTCTATTTGGTGGAAAATTGACACCTCAGCACCAAAATATAATGATAGAATGCATGTAATATGGATTAAAATGAAGAAAAAGTGTTTCTTAACTCTAGTCAGCCATCTATTTCAAATATTTTATAAAATCCAGTGTAACTGAGGAATTAATCTGTTGAAGTTCACTAATGACATTTGACTTACCCTCGAAATCCTCAGAATATCTAACACAAGTTTATTTTATATATATATACATAGCTCACTGAAATTGTTCAATTATAGGCTTATCTGTTTACCTACCTTCATGCCCCTTCTCCCCAAAATAAATTACCAGTATAAATTAAATACCTTAATCCCTTACTCCTTTAATCTTCAATCAAAAGGAAGAGGAAAAGGAATTTAAAACGTATCAGAAATTAAGGCTTAAAATGATTCCTTTTATTCCTCACTTGCTGAGAACAAAAAGCCAGAAGTAGTAGTATATGTGGTTCTTAAGCTTTTTTGAGTCACAGATCCCTTTGGTATTCTTATGAAAACTCTAGTCTCTCTCCCTAGAAAATGCAAGTACACATTCACATAGAAAGATATTATGTATATTGTGTATGATGTCGGTTTCATATGTTCTCTGAAGCCCAGGTTAAGGACCTTAAGAACAGCTGAGAAGTTTCTTACATATTTAGGCAATGTTCACTATCCTAGGCTGTGATGTTTAAACCAGTGGTCAATAATATCAGTGTATAAGCCTATTAATGATATGTTTTCATTACCATTTTTTTTAGGAAACTGGGACATAGGACTTTCTAATTTGCCTTCCCTCAATCTTGACAAGTTTATCTCCTTTAAGTGTATAAATAAGTTATCATCTGTAAGTAGTAACTTACTCAAATAAGACAAAAATCATTTTACTTGATCTCTTAATGATATATTACAATCATAAGATCTTAGATTTGATTGAAGCCATTTCCTCATTAGCATTTTGTCCCATGTTCTATTTGAAAATAAACCTAGATTTCAGAGAGTATAATGAACAACTCTTAATTAATTTTGTGAAACACAGTAGAAATTAGGTGGGAGATATTTTCTTCCAAGTATAACCTAGGAAGACATTATATGGAGAAAGAAGTACTCGAAGCTTCTGGATTCCATTTTCTAGATTTATCATTTACTGGCCATAGAATCCTTATTTTTCTGCCTTATTTCACTATTTGTAAGTAAACATAACCACTAAGTTCACATAGAAAAAGAGACCCATAAATACATGAAAACTTTAGATACATTTGGATTAAAAGTATTAAACTACAGTGCTATAGACACAGTCCATTTTTTCATGTATGTGTAGCATTTCTAGTTAAATGAGGCCTTCAATTTTAACACTTTCTTTTAAATATACTGATTTATTTTCCCCAGCTCTATGGAAAAGAAAGATTATATACCAAGAAAATATAGGTAAATAATATTTTTAAACTTGTATAATAGAAAATATAACAATTTTCTAAATAACTGGCTCAAAATAAAGTCTTTGGTGTATTAGAAAAATATGGTAATATTTACAAAAGTATTACTGTGACATAGAGACAGCTACATATGTGTTATAGATAGATAATCTAAAAAGAAATATAATCACATTGTTAAATATTAGTAGATTCACATTATATTACATTCCTGCTTAAATGGGAAAAACTTATACTATCATGAACATAGTTTATACATTTTTCTACTCAGTTAACATAAAATAAATAAAATTTTCCTCTGTTCTTTTAAAATAATCACATTGTATGACCACGTATTTTAAAAAATTAGATCTCATTCTGGTTTACTGCTGCCACTAACAGTAGGTATTTCATGGTCAGTCTCTTTTTTAGGATCTACCATATCTTTATATCTCTCCCCACGATGCCGTTCCAGGTATGGACCCCAGTTAGAAGCTGGTCTGCAGCAGCTTACAATGCGCTGAAAAGAAAAAAAAAAAAACAAAAACTTGTTTTAGACCATAAGTGTTACAGTCTGTAAACAAGCAAATATCAAACCATATTAATAAGTTTCTTTGCTAACCAAAATGAAATAAGAACCTAGAAAAGTAAAAAAAGTGATCATCAAAATTCTTAATACAGTATACTAAAAAAATGATACTCAGATTTAACTGTTACTAGAATTACACCAACTATGAAACCAAAATAACTGAGTATGTAAATGATTTTAAAAGAAAGTGTATGAGCCCATTTGAACAACAGAATCAATCCATGTATTTTCACTGAATTATCCGACATTTCTATCCTGCCCTTAGAGGGAGGGTTAGGTGAGGATTTAAACCAGTGTATACTTGGGAGGTTTCAAGAACCGAACAAAGGGAGCTCCAGGGTCAAACCACTAATCGGGGTGGGCTTGGGAAGTTATTTAAAATCTGACTCCTGAGATTTGTCTTAGTCATTGTCCTAGTGAGATGTCATAATCAACTCCATCTGCCTCCACCTCCATGCAAGAGGGGATCACTCAGGGTCTAGATTGGGTTTGAAATAATTTACCAGGCTTTTTCCAGTCTAAACACACTATGAGGACATGTATTATAACCAGACAATGTATTTAAAGATTATAGATATAAAACAAAAAGGTCCTTTGCTTTGTGTCATCTTTAGGGAAACTCAGTACAAGTATAAATATTACTTCTATGTGCTCAGCACACTCATAGGGCCTGAGGATATAGCAGCACGCAACATAAGACTCTCCCTAAAGGAGCTTAGAGTCTAGTACGAGACACACAAATACATATATGGTGTAAAGCTATGCTATGCACATAGTAATCAGATGATTGTATCAGGTGTAGAAGTAGTCTAAAAGTTCATAATCTCATATTACCACCATATGAGTAATCTTCATTTTGATAAGTGCTTTCTATAAAGTATAAATAATATAAATGTGCTTACTTGAAAGATATTTCCTTCAGCTTGAATTATTTTTATGACGGCCATAATTGGAATCCAAATAATGCAGAAAATAATCATACACCAACCTAGAGCAACTCCCCAGTCAGGGTATGGAATTTCGGCATAATTAGGCCTATGAAATTTCACAAGTGACCAGATCAAAATTGCCTGTGAAAGTAAAGTATGAAGAGACAATGCTAAAGATTAGACTTTATTGCACTAACGATTTTAGTTGCACTAATTGTTAGGAATTTGATCCCTATTCTTAGAAATAATTTATCAAAAGCAATTAAAATGGGGCGCCTGGGTGGCTCAGTTGGTTAAGCGACTGCCTTCGGCTCAGGTCATGATCCTGGAGTTCGGGGATCTAGTCCCGCATCGGGCTCCCTGCTCAGCAGGGAGTCTGCTTCTCCCTCTAAGCCTCTTCCCTCTCGTGCTCTCTATCTCTCATTCTCTCTGTCTCAAATAAATAAAAAAAAAAAGCAATTAAAATGAAGATACATTCAAGCAACTAAGATAATCCCGTAACTAGCCAGAAGATAATACTAAATGAACTAAACTAAATAACTTATATTTGGCTTTGAATAGATTCTTCCAAAATGAGCACCTCCATGTATTTATAAGAGACAAATGCTGGCCCAACATGTTTTTCAATAAACTACTTTATCATGAAATATTTCAGATTGAAAATAAAACAATATCTGAACATTTCCATGACTGAACTTTTAAGTTTCACTTATAATAGTATGGTTTTAGTCTATGCTATAAGCTAGCCAGCATATCAATTCATTCAAGGAGAATGTAAAGTACCCTTTAGTGAACATGCTTTGCTCCTTGCTTAGCAGTTGCTTCTATTATTTCTCTCTGCACAGAGCACCCCTTACTCCACACCAAAAACACAGACACATTCACAAGCTACTGGTACGTATTTGCTAAAGCACACTTCACTTCCAGCCTCTCTTTGAGAGAAAAACAAGCTCAATGTATGTTTGGGTAAAACAGTGAAATCTGAATCTTAACAAGGAGAACACTTAAAAGCCAAGTTAAAAAAAAAAACTTTTTAAAAAACCTACTAGACATGTTGCAGCATTAAAACTAATTATTTAGAAACCTGTAAAGCAAACAAAACAAACAAAAACCAGAGTCACCTAGTAGTTTCTCTAAATTATTTAACTGTCTATGTTTTACTAAAATCAGTGGGGAAATGGAATGTAAGAATATCAAATAGGTAAAGTTTAATAGATTAATTTTATCTAATAGATTAATTAATAATTTAATAGATGAATTCTACTTAATTACAGTAATTTAAATGTATTTCCCAATTATCATAATTATTTTCCATAACTACAAGAGAATTGGATGAGGGATACTGGAGTATCCATGACTTCACATCACTTT